GACTTTCTGGTGAGCTCATCTCCTCTGCAGAGGCACAGCAACCTGGCCACTTCTGCTGGGTTACCTTCGTGTGTAAATTTGCATTTGCTGAAGGTACAGCTGGGTGGAGGCAGGAAATCCCAGCCCAGGAGTGAATCACATCTATTGACTATATTCCTTATCACTGAGATTTTTTTCCAGCCTCCAGTTTTGCCTGGTTAAGGATCTTCTGTGTTTCTGTCTCACTTTTAGTTGTCTCTGATACTGAAAACACTAACAGCTCGACAGGAGCTCAGTAGCCAGTGTGGGTAGTTTGTTCTGGTTGGGTTTTGGTTTGGTTTTAATTTATTATTTCAATGTCCAGTTTGAATTCTGTTTTAATTGGTAATTACTTTCAGTTTGGAATACAATATGTATGGCTCTGCTTTGCAAGAAAGCTAGGGGAAAAAATTAGAATGTACATGTAAAACCAGCAGGTGACACTGTCTGTGGTGCTGCTGGTTTATCATTATTATTGTCCAGCCATTAGCAATATCAGCTCCTTAACTGCATGTCATTTTGGGAGACTGATCAGACTAGCCAGCAGCCTTGGCAATGAAGCTTTAACCACTTCCTTGGGTTCTTCCCAAGCTGTGGAAAGCAAGCTCTGTCAGCATATTTCCAGGCTCATGTGGACACCCTTCAATAGTGCAAGACCTTCATTTCATAAGCAGTTTGTTTGCTCAGGAAAGTGCAGGTGGTGAAAGCACAGCCAGAAAGGTCTCTGAAGAGCTGACACAGGCAGCTCAGTGTTGGAGTCACTAAACTTCAGAACTTCCCTCATTTTCTTCTCCTGTCCTGCGAGCACACCTCCTTCCTTCCCTGCCTGGAGAGGAGCAAATTTTGGAAAGTAATTTCCCTGCCCAGCTATTCAGAAATAGGTTAATGACACTGCAACTTTAAATAGCAATGAAATGTGCAGAGGCAGAACTGATGGGCACAGCCAGGTCAGTGAGCAGCAGCTCCCTGGAATCATCTCCCGTCCCGGCCAGAGCTCTGCAATGACTCTGCACATTCAGGCCAGAGAGTCTGGGAGTCGCATCCTTCTGTGAGGAACTGCCTTGGAATGAAGGCCTGGATGTGAAACAGAGACTGCAGGAGCCTGGGAACTCACAAGAACACCTGGAAACTCCTCAGGTAGAAGGATTTAAAGTGGATTTTTCTGATAAAAAGTACATCTTTAAAGGGTAAGGAAAAGCTCATATGCTCCAAGTGACACCAGAAATCCTGCTATACTGGAAAATGTAGGGAATTGTCCTGCTGCTGCTCTAACATTAGGAGAGCTGCAGAGGTGCTAGAAGCACCCAGTGTTGTTCAGTGCAGCTATTGCTATCAGTGTGTAATTTCCTCACAGATTTTAAGTGATACTAAGGAAAAAAAAAGGATCAGCAGACAGGAATTTATTATACAACACAGATTATTATAAAGCCTTGTTCTTAGCTCTTTTGTATTTTTAAGAAATTTTCTTAGTCAATCCTAAAATAGGAAACTCTTCTGACTTGCTTTCTGCATTAAAAGTGAGATACCAGACATCAAAATTCAAATACTGAAGCCAAACTCTGCTGTGTTTATCACACACCAGGAATTACCCATCAGAATTTAGCTGAGGAGCCAGACAGGATTAATATACACACCAGGAATTACCCATCAGAATTTAGCTAAGGAGCCAGAACAGGACAATGAGATACCCCAAGAAGTGCCAGATATGGAAGAAAATGTGACACATGCAGGCCCAGCCACCAACCTCAGATGTTACCATTACAGAGTTTAGAGACAAGAACTACCAGAACATTCAATAATCAGTCACATGGTAATTAATCCTGATGAGCTGTTTATGTCTAACAGAATCCCTCTGCATCTTCCCAGTGTGGTATTTAATTGGTGCCATTGTACCCAGCAGATGTTGCTGCCATCCCTGTTATTATAAATATGATGTGACACAGCAGGAAGTTCTGGCTCTGGTACCTCCTGGCTGTGACTGGATCGGGCACCACCAGAGGTGAAGCAGCTCCATGCCACATGCCTGCTAATTCCAGACCTGGAATACTCACTGCCTGAAAGCATCAGATTTTTATTGCTGTGTTATATGTGACATATATTTTTAATACACCTATGAATTGCTTAAAATATAAACTTGTATAGCCTTCTGTTCTCACTACTGTTACATTCCTCTTTCTTCTCTCCACAAACTGTGCTGTTCCATGTTCCTGCCTTGTACCTTGTCCTGAGGTAACTGGGAGCCTTTCTCAGCCTTTTGCCCTATTTCTGCAGTTCCTCACATAGAAATGATCCAACCAGGACAGCTGGATTCTACTGAACTAAAGGAAATACAAGATGTATTTTTATTCTGCATAATAAAATCAATATTCACTCACAAGAAGCACATTTCAAAGAGCTCCACAGCTGATACTAAGCTACTAAAGATCAGTAACAGTTCATCTGTTTCACTAAATGTAAATGTCCAGTGGAATGCCCGTTTATTGCCCATCAGTTGTCCCTGTGACAGGATGGTTCTGAATTAAGACTGGAAATGGTTGGATGTAAAACACTCCCAGGACACTAATAGCAGGAGAAACTGCAATTCAGCACTAAAAAGTGTTCCCTTAAGGATCTTTGTCACAAAATGTAAGTTCTCATTTTAAAACTGATCCCATGGGATAACAATGAGCTTTCGTAAAGCCAATACATGAGGCCACTTTGCTTCCCTACATCCAGGATCTTGGCTGCTCTACTTGTGCCAGCTGGCAAAGATCCCCAGGGGGCTGCCTGCCAGATATGGGCTGTCAGAAAGCTCCAGCCACTGCTCCTCTTTCCTTCTACCCCTAGACCTCTCCTCCCATGCCAGGGACTGTAAGGAGATGATGTAGGAGCCAAAAATACCAGCTGCTGTTGGCAGAGCTGGGAGACTACAGCCTCCTGGGCTGAATGGAGTGGAAGAAAGAATTTGTCTTATGATTCCTAGGTATTTCTGAACTGCATTTCCTTACAATTAAGTATAGAACACATTGGATCTACACAACCACGACCTAGCAGTATCCTCAGGCCCTGAGACTCATGTTTAATTGATTATGGAGCATGGCTCTGCACCCAGACCAGGGGCAGAATCAATCTTCTCAATTATACTGAGATTTCTTTTCCTGTCACTGCAGGGTATAAAAAACTGACCTGCTAAAAATTAGTATCTTAGTCATTTTAGAGTGGAGTTAAATTATTCCTTTATGAAATCCAGATGCTTCCAACACTTCAGGACCCCTCCTGCTCTGACCGGAGAGCTGTCCTGCGTTCCCCCGTGTGGCGGAGCTGCAGCAGGGACCTGCAGCGATGCTGCGTTACTGACACCCCCCGGTGTCA